TTTCTATAAAATTTTAAACATAGATAGAACTACACTATATACACCTACTATAAAAATTGTACTAAGATATATTACGTAATTAAAAAGCTATACGTATTTAGGTAACTTTTAAGAAAAAACCTACTTTACTTCTAGTAAGTACTATTATATCTCTATAATAATATATAAAACTTATAGTATATAGTATCTATAACGTAATAAAGGTTTCTAGAAAACTTTTATAAAGCTAGCTCTTCTAGATATAGCGTAATAAGAGATAGAAGTTAGAAAAATATCTTTATTAGAGTTTTCTCTTCTAACTATAGATATATATAGTTAATCTAGCTATATAAACTTATTATTTTATAAATTATAGTAGGCTTTAACTATATAGAGCTTATTAACTAATAATATACTAGCTTTAAGTAGTTATTTAAAAGTAAAGTCTTTTTAGTAGTATAGTATAGAAAGATAAAAAGATACTAAAACTATTTTAAAATTATTACTTCTAAATATATAGAAAGCTTCTAGTATATATAATCTTATAATATATAACTATATATAGCTAGATTATTAATATATATATATAGTTAGAGAAGAAAACTCTAGAAAGACTTTTTATAAACTTCTATTTCTTATTACGCTATACCTAGAAGAGCTAGCGCTATAGAAGTTTTCTAGAACTCTTTATTAAGTTATAGATACTATATACTATAAGTTTTATATATTATTATAGAGATATAATAGTACTTACTAGAAGTAAAGTAGGTTTTTTCTTAAAAGTTACCTAAATACGTATAGCTTTTTAATTACGTAATATATCTTAGTACAATTTTTATAGTAGGTGTATATAGTGTAGTTCTATCTATGTTTAAAATTTTATAGAAAAATATTAAGGTTTCGCTTAGTTATTTAAGAAAAACCTGTTAATTTTCGTTAGTTTTCGTTGCCAAGAAATCGTGGGGCGTTCGGTGGTGTAGAGCGTTCGGTGGTGTAGAGCGTTCGGTAGTGTAGAGCGTTTGGTGGTAAAGTACGTTATTAAGAATAGTAATTTTTATATTAAGAATAGTAGAATTCTTAAAGCTCTTAATTTAGCGTAGAAGATATAGTATAGAATCTACTATAATAAATATTTAGTATAGTTTAGTAGTTATATTATACTATTTCTCTACTTACTTAAATATATTAGATAAAGTATCTTTAATAATTCTATAGTTTTTATTAGTAAGAGAAATTAAAAAATTTATTATTAGTAAGTTAAACTATTATTTCTAGTATTATTAGTATATAATACCTAAATAAATATAGATAAGAGTCTATCTTATCTTATAATAGCTCTAGAGCTTTATAATAGATATAAGTAGTAATATACTAGTCTTCTTAGTATTTCTTAAGAGAAGAAACTTAATATTTAGGTTAAGATATACTAGGTTCGCCTTTATAGAGGCTATCTTCTTCTTTAGAGATAATAGTAAGCGTAAAGATAACGTAGGCGTAGAGAATAAAAGTATACTTTTAAAGAATATATTAGCTATACTTTATTAAACGTCTACGTTAGCTTTTTCTAGTTACCTTTTTTAATATATTACTACTACTATATTCTTCTTTAGAGAGAATCTATCTCTTCTTAATTAGCGTATTAGTAAGGCTATAGCTATATTACGTATTATAACGTTTAATTATTATAAGGTAGTAGAGAGACTACGTAGTATCTACTAGCGCTTAATAGTAGAGAGTGTATTATTATAGCTAGCCTTAGAGTTAATAACTATAACTATCTAGCGCGTAATATTAGAGTCTTATTTATATAGTAGTAGAGCGTATAGATAGCTAAATATAGCTTTATTATATATATACTTAGAGAAATACTAGATAATTACTATAAGCTATAGTAATAGATAGAATAGTTTACGAGTATTAAGTATAAGTATAATATTAATATTATTAATATTATATTTCTATAATAGCGCTAAGCTAGAGCCTATCTTATTAGTAAAATAATCTTATTAGTAGCTCTAGTAGTAGTATATGTAGTAGAGACGCCTTATAAGACTTAGTATAGTATTAATTAGTAGTTTAACTACTCTTAATCTTAACTTTAGAAGAGTAGTTAGTTAAAAACTTTTATAAATACCTACTATAGTAGCAAGCTACTATAAAGAGTATAGCTAAAGTAAGTTAGCTATTTTCTCTATTAGCGCTAGTAAACTATAGAGAGCTTTTAGTATACTACTACCTTTCTAGCTTCTAAGGTTTATAGAAAAACTTTAACTAGTTTAAAGAAGTAATATATAGCTATATATAATTCTATAAGCTATAAAGCTACTCTTTAGAGAGTAGTCTATCTTTAGCTCTATAATACTAAGAATATAGGTATACTATAAGAGCTAGCTCTATAGTCTTTACTACTATAAGCGTTCTAGAATACCTAGCTAGATAAGTTAGCTATAGATAGTACTATCTCTATAAGCTATAAGAATAGAGATGCTAGTAGAGTAGGTTAGATTAAATTTAGCTATCTAAAGATAAGAAGTAGAGAAAAGGCTCTAAAAGACTCTATATATAGAGGTACTAAGCGCTAAGACGCTAGACTAGGTTACGTAATAAGGTTATATAACCTAGGTAAATCTCTAAACTAGACTATTATATATACTAAGAGAAAGGTTTAGCTAAGGCGTAGTTACTTTATTAGTAGTAAGTAAAGAATAACGTAAAGTAACTTAAATACTAGATACGCTAAGATTTATATCTTTATCTATTTTACTACTTAAGGTAACTTTAAATAAGTACTAATTATCTAACTACTTCGATCTAGATTACTACTTTTAACTTTTTATCTAATACTATTCTAATTACTATTACTTACTATCTTAGCTTAAGTTAATAAAGCTATTTACTATAAGTTCTACTACTAGATTAAGCTAACTTTACTTCTAGCTTTCTCTCTAATATAGTTATTATAATTAGATATCTTTATAGATAGCTTCGAGTATAGTAGTACTACCTAGTAGAGACTTTTCTTTAGAAAACCTACTTAAAAGTATTAGATAATTATACTTATAGCTTTAGAAAGTACGTATCTATAGTTTATTATATTACCTATAAGCGTTATAGTAATAATACTATTACTTTAACTTTGCTAATATATATATAGTAGAAGAAACGTTATCTAGTAGTTTCTAGAATAGTAGATTTTTTCTACTTACTAGCTCTCTCTAAAGTTAATATTAGTAGCTAAGTTTAAATCTAAGATAACTAAGATTCTCTTCTTCTACGTTAGATAGAGTAGCCTAGTTAATAAATTTCTCTTTCTATAGTATATTAATATATTAGCCTAGGTTAAGAGCCTAAAGAGTATTACGTAGATAATTCTTTATAGTAAATTCTTTAGTTATAGTTATACTAATTAATATATAACTAGAAAATAGAATAAGAGTACTAGTTTCTTAGGTATTTAGTTACTTAAATAAGATATATACTCTAATAGAGAATAGTCTTCTAGTTTTCTCTTTACGTATAGTAATAGACTTTTATCTACTTTATAGAGTAAGCTCTATAGAAATATATAATATAGATAACTAGAGATTTACGTATTTGCTATATCTAAATATCTAATTAAATACTAGTAGAAATAAGATTTTACTCTCGAAAATAATCAGGCGTGCTATGCAGAAAATTTCCCTAATTTATTTTCCCTTTTACTTTTAGCTTATGCGGGATTAATATTAAAAGGCTCTGCGTTATAACGTCATGTTAATCCCGCCTATTCAGAGTGGGCCGGATCTTATTGGCTGGGAAGCAGGTTCTAAGACCAAGACGCAAGATACATCCGATTGGTTCCCGTCCTTCCCCGAAGGACGACCGATTGCTGCAATTGCATTATAATTTGTCGTTTCTCGGAGAAGGAATCGATCTAAAAAATTTTTCCGATAATGGAGCGGACGCATGGAACAGCCCTTTCATTAGGGGTGAAGGTGGTTCGGACCCTTTTCGAGCGATATATAGGTTGCGTCATAGTTGCGTAAAGTCGCCTCACGCTAGCTGTCAGGGTTATCCAATAGGATCGTGAGCCAGAATCCCAGGCCTTAGGATCGCCGATAATGCGCTCTGCTTTTAAGTTACAAGTATAAACCCATCCGAGCACGTCTCCTGATTTCGGTGCTATTCTAGGTGCGTGTGATAGAAAAAGGGCTAGCTCCGCGGCTCCTGCAAGCGCCGCGCATCAGGCAATGTGCCAAGAAAAAATTGGTCTGGAACGTAACATTCGATCATACGACGACGGAAAACGGCAGCCAGGGTGGAATGCAAAATTCTCCTACTTATCTGTGGGTTTTCTTAGACTATGGTTCGAGAACATGGGCATGCTCTTCGCAGTTGTCATGCGGAGCTGGGGCAGACCCGCTAGACTCCTTTAGGATTAAGACTCCGCCTTTGCGATCGACTCTCAATAACTACCAGTTCGTAATTTCGCAACAAATGCCGTCGATGCCTGCACATTTGAGTTGGGTTCCTCGGCGGGAGGCAGATCGACGTCATCGAAAGAAGAAAAATGTAGAGCAATGCAAAAGAATCCGCCCACTGTAACTAATCTAACCGAAAAGCTCCTACACTCTTATTGCATTCGGAGCCAAGAAGGGGTTCGTGGTCTGCCAGTCTTACGTTGGAGCCAAGAGAGTCCAGACGCGCGCGCCATGGAACTTAGAGGTAAAGACCATACCATGAAAGAAAGCGATTTTTGGCAAAAGGGCCCGACCTATGCCCATTTTCATGCTCTAGAGTACCCATCCTCCCGCATGCGTAGAACGGCTTCCGCCTCGGGCCTATAGAGTGATGGGAACCAGCCCATTCTCGCGTTCCACCCCTGGCGCCCCGCGGAGGAGCCCTGCGGAGGAGCCCTACCGAGCCGTCGATCGTAGAGTATAAGGTCTCGGGGAAAGAATGCCCTGATAGTTCTGGATAGGATCAACACTCTTCACTTGTCGAAATTCCGCAGATACCCTTGACTTGTTGCTCCACTACTCCACCTTGTCGGCGACCAGGACGGTTACCAATTAATATCCGAAATACTTATACCGCCAATACGATTCCTGTCTCTGCCCGCCTGACCTCTTCACCAAACGCGTCCCCAGCTTCATAAGCTAATCATCGGAGGCCGACAATTATTCAACAGTGACGATCGAGATCTCACAGACTGTAATGCCAACTGTCCCTCAACATGGACTTCTCAGACCTCTCCTACCCTGTGGTAGCCAACGCCGACTACTCCCCCACAAACGAAACCCTTTTCTCCCCCGACGCATTTGACGAGGCCTACATCATGGACTCATACACTACGTCGCCAGACCACTCGCTAGCCAGCTTTGACTGTAACTCTTTCTTCGACCAACCCCTCTCTACTGTCGAGGTCCACGCACCCGGCGCTTTCGGCCAAAAGAACCCGGCTGTCTTCAGTGCCACGCTGCCAGCTGCAACCGTCACCCCAGCGAACCAAAGCGCCCCCTACAGTCCAACCCTTACCCCAGCTCAGCTCGAGCAATTCCCTTCGGGCTTCTCCTTCGACGGAGTCAGCAACGCTTTCGAATCAAATGTGACCCCCAAGTCACAGCACTCGCGAACACCCTTCTGCGGTGACGGCACACAACAATGCCAGGTTCCAAGCTCCCTAGAACTCTCTCCGCGCTCAACATTGAAGCGTGATCCCACTGACGAGGGTGTTCAAATGGAGGAGCCAATGCCGAAACGCCCGCAGCGGAAGCGAGGCCGGCCGCGCCTCGACCGCAGCAACTCAAACACCTCGCCGGCCTCATCAAACTGCCACCGCACCAGCCGCCTGCCGCATAACCAGGTAGAACGCAAGTATCGCGAGGGCCTGAACTCCGAGCTCGAGAAGCTGAGGCGGGCGGTCCCGACGCTTCCGCAGAGCGAGGAGGGTCAAGTCATAGGCCAACCGAAACCGAGCAAAGCTATGGTGCTGGCCGCTGCCATCGACTATATTAAGAAGGTTGAGAAAGAGCGGAATATGGACCGAGAGGTGAATGAAAGACTGCGGCGTGCAACAAGGCTGGAATAACTGAAGAGCAGATTCCGTGTCGGTTTCTGGTGGACCCATGAATGCTTCCTTTCTCCTGCTGAATGATAACAAGACTTTACGTTTTCTGAGCAATAGCTTTTTGGAGCGCTTCTCCACAGATACACGTTGTGGATGGAAAGCGACTCCCTGTTTTGTGAGGCTTTGGTGGTGAGGCTTTGGTGGTCGAGGTGCTAAATTCCAACAAGTGCTGATGGAGAGTGACAGTTACGGCCATCGATACGACCTACCATGTTTTGTGATAGTCTTCTAATCTACTATGAGGCTATTACTACTTACAATAATATCACTGTTACGCTCAATGCTAGCCGCCAGCGGGGCTTCCCACATCGCTCGCCGGAGAGGCAGGCAACGGCGAGACGAAACGTTGGTCCAAGTCGTCCTCGCGATGAGCTAAAAGGATATTAGAGGACTCCAAGTCTCGATCTAATATACCGTCTGACAGGAGAGGTCGGTTACTCAAGTCTGGCGAATCTTGTGGAGACATTGCGTATTGGCATCGATATCGTTTTCGCGGGTGTGGTTCATCCGCTATGACGGAGACACCAATGTTATCGCCCATCGCCGGTGTAGCTTCAGGTTTGCGCTTTTTCGGACTTTGAGACCGTTTTCTAGAAAATTGAGCGCATCTTTCCCATGAGACGAAGCCGTGACTGTCAAATAGAGTCGCGTTTTCGTTTGCTAAGAGTAGCCGTCGGCGTTCGCAACAAGTTAAAAACGTATCAAGAAGCGGAAAGATGGACCACGCGAACCGCGCAAAAAGTGTCTCGATGCTTGAGTCCAGGGAGTGCAGGGCACGGTTGTGATATAGATACTCCAACTCTTCCGACGCTTCGACTAGGTGTGTCACAAGCTTGAGTTTTTTCGGGTCAAAGGCAATATGAAGATCGGTTCGAAGAAGAAGTGCATTCGAAAGGTCGCCCAGAGTGTTTGCTGACCCAAAATTGTATCTCGACATCCCGTTCTCGTACCACCATTCAACTTCTTTCTGTGGACAGATATGCGCAACCTGCGTTCCCTCTCTACAGCCAGTTATACTGCACGAGACATCCCGAGCTTGAAGGGCGAGGGTGAGGTTCGATGTAGCGAAAGATTGTTCGGGGTTTACGAAGTCGCAATCGGCTGAAGCCGTTTGCTTCCACAGTTCGGGCAGCTAATCGTGCGGAAAGCGCCATTCGCGAAAGGTTGGGACTATCGGGTACGGAAGGTTCAGGTCGCCAGTATCGTCACCGCTCACTAGTGGAGGTAAATGGAAATAATAGCTAGCCATTTGCGGGATGGTGGTGGGATCGATTTGTGCGGAAGCATCGGGATCTTTCACCCCCGACAGCCATCCGTCCCAGCGATTTCCCGCGACAATATCGCAGGCATACAAGGCGCATTGTGCATACAAGCCACGGCCTGAAGAGTCCCTATATCTAGCGCAAAGAGCTTGAGCAGCACGTTGTTCGAGTCGTCATAACCGGGGTGGCGGAAGAGGATCTGGCGGTTTGGTATCGCAGGACGACTGAGAGTGGCGGGCGGCTCGCAGGGCTCTCGAGTAAGACTCATGAAGTAGAGCGACGCATAATACCTTCCGGAAGTTTTCTATTAAGGCGGGTGATGGATATCGTAATGATTCGATAAGAGTTGCGCAGCTGAGCTCAGATCACTTCAAAACGGCGTTTTCGTTTGCCAAGACGAAGTCTGATCGGGAAAATGATTCACCGATACCCGATGTAGATCGCCTTCAGGCGGGGCAACGCTCTGACATTAGTCTGAGACCAACCTTGAATATCGACCTCAAAGAGGTGAGCACACAATACATCCTAGTAAATAGCTGCTAAGAATATGGAGCAGTACGCTTACGACTTCACAAGACTGCGGAGCTGCGCGTGTGATGTAGAGAGTGTCGTGGTGCATCTTCAGCTCGACGAGGCTGAGAATGTAGGTGGTGCATCTGCAGTTGCCAAGTCCCTGTGGTCGCCAGCTAGACCAGGAGAAAAGGTTCAGCCGAGGCGCGGTTAAAGTTTCCCTGTAAAACTCAGAAGCAGGAAGGCGGCGGTGCTCCGAAAGCTCTCTACAGTTTGCCAGCGCTAGTAGGGAGGGCGGCCGACCCGCTCCGGCCGCACCCTCAACCCTATGGCCGGAGCGGGTCGGCCGCCCCTCCCTGCTAGCGTGATTAGAGGCGTTCGTCTACTTCTGACAAGGCTCAAGTGGTGAATAATTAAACATTCCCTCTGCGACGATCTGGTGTGGCTGTGCTTAGTGCTCAAACCTTCTTGGCGCTCACGACACAACACGCATCAGTAGTGGCAACCACGCACATTCCAACTCTCTTCATGGATGCTTTCAAAAGTCCAACGCTTCCCACGCAAGGGTGTAGCAGGAGCAAATCGGCGGCCCTTCCCGTTCGTGGTACGACATCTGGTGCCAAAATCACTTCCATTATCGTTAGATATCTAAAACAATTCGACGGTCGACTCAGCTACTAATTTGGGGCTATAATATTGACTTCTGTGGCTAAGTTAGATTGCTATTAGAACTCCAAAAATTACAGGGAGTCGCGATTGAGGCGTCCGAAATACCTGGATTAGGCTAGTAGGCAGGCAGAACTTGGACTGGCTCATCTTCGGCTTAATATGAAAATACACTGCAGCCTAGCGACGAAACGTCTCACTGATAACGGTTAAATCCACTGACTGTCTTGCTCCACCAGAGTAAAATATATCCTTTACCATCTAGCGTTACTCATATAGAAAATGACTTTTGTCGTAGAGAACTTAGATCCCCTATTTGACTTCTCCTCTAGAACCAGCAAATGCCTGTGCCAACATGCCGAGTCACCCTTGGAAACGGCCCTTCCCTTGGAAGCGACATGGTGTTCGAACCAGTCCGGAATTGCCGGAGCCCGTGTATCTAAGGCCGAAGTTATAAAGGTGCGTGGCAGCTGTAGATGTAGATGCCGAGGCATGAGCTATTCTTAGGCTAGGACTTTAGCTAACAGATAGTGCGAGTTACAGGCAGATTGCCATATCTGCGAGAAGATCCTCCGCGTGTTACGCATACCGAGAAATATCTGGACGGTCGGGATGGTGGAATTGGGGTCAGGGACCGAAATCATACAACCCGTCCCGAGTTGCGATCAGCATCAGAAACTGGTTGCCTCTGCATTGCGTGTAGACGCCAATCAGCCTGATAAAGAGATATGCACCATCGCAAAGTGCATAGAAAAATTGGAGATACACAAAAACCCGCTGAACATGGCTGCTATTATCACCACAACGATGTTGCCCGGGTGTCCACTTCCCAGGCCACCATTGTACGGGATGTATCCTGTGAAGGAACCGGGCGACCCGAACGACTTAATTGGAGGTCGGATCCTTTCCCTCCAGTGGATAGATCTCGATCTGCCCAAATTATGGAAATCTACTTGCGACAGTCTTCATGCCGACTTATGCAAAGGCTTTCCTCATGAGGTTTTGTCTCGCATAAGGCCGACATGGCTCGTGGACGTCAAGCGTAAATGCGTCATTTCCGCCCCAGAGAATTGCTCTTACGTCGCCCTTAGTTACGTATGGGGAAATCAACCGACACTGAAAGCCACTGTTGGCAATATGAGCCAGCTCCAAAGAGTTGGAGCATTATTAAATATGCCAATCGCAAAGACAATACAGGACGCAGTAGGAGTGGTCGAGCTTTTGGAGGAGAGATATCTATGGGTCGATACTCTTTGCATTGTTCAAGACAATGAGTCTCAAAAACACGCTGAGATGGCCAAAATGGCAGCGATTTACGCTAATTCTGCCGTCACCATCTTAGCAGTACAAGGAAAGCATGCTAACAGTGGCCTAAGAGGTTTCCGCGGTATTTCAGAGGCGAGGAATCTGCACCAAAGCTTGCACTGCTTAGAAAAGGAGTTGAGAGTGATACAGTTTCCCATCGAACCAAGTCAACTCGAACTAGGAAGCCATGAGCCTGTTTGGGGAACCAGAGGATGGACTTACCAGGAGCATCTCTTTTCACGAAAAAGGCTCATATTTGACGGCGATTCTGTGCGGTGGGAGTGCGCAGCTGCAATCTGGCGTGAGCACGTCGAACTGTCCTTGGATCTCAAGCCACATCACAACGACATCATTCGCTGCCAATCATTGTTTAAGGCTTCAGTTCCCGATCTTATGTGGCTCCAAGTGATTCTACAGAATTACAACAAAAGAAGCTTCACCTACCCAGAAGACGCTCTGTACGCCTTTGATGGAATTGCATTCTCAACTAGCCAAGCCTTCGCCGGCGGCTTTGTTTCGGGTCTTCCAATAGCTTTTTTTGAGATGGCCCTGCTATGGCAGCCCCGCGACAAGATATTTCGTAGAGTTTCCCGGGACCCAGAGAAACAGCATTGCCTCCCTAGCTGGAGTTGGGCTGGGTGGTCTGGAGCCGTCAACTTCGATGATAAATCGGCGACGGACTTCATTAGGAATAGCAAAAGCATGGTGAAAAGAACACATGAGACACGTGTAACGCGGATCTTGTCGTGGAGTTATCACGCGACGGCTGACGCACCCGGAAAGCCCATCCATCCCAGCATTCTCGCTAATAAGGATTTGTGGCTGGAGAAGCAGATCGAATGTGCCTCTTTGGGTTGGACCAAACACTCGATCACGGAAAGTCTGGAAGCATTCTACGAATCGCCGGATCCTAGATCTCCCTCTACATGTTTCTACAAACACGAAGCATATCCCGGTGATGAATTCTGGTATCCCATCCCACTTGTGCAGCAGGTGAACTCGACCCCTAGCATCCTTACACCATATATATCTTGTACGACCCGAAGGGCTTGGCTTTTTCCTGGCGAGGAACTTCCGAAGAAGAATGGGTACCGTCCAATACTTTCCCTCCGCATTGAAAGGAATATCTGGGCGGGTATCCTCCAACCTCATGACAGCCTGGACGCGTCCAGCGGGACTCTGCAGGAACCTACTGGGGCTGTCGAATTGGTAGAAATCGCGAGAGGGTTTTGTCGTGACACCACGTCTCCATGGCCCGGCATCGAGGAAATTCGGCATCCAGAGAGGCCAAAGGCCGGTCAGTGGTATGAATATTATTGGGTCATGTGGGTTGGATGGGATAATGGCATAGCCTATCGTAGGGGGCTTGGTAGGGTCCAGAGGCAGCTCTGGGAGGAGCA